GCTCAAAATTGCTCAAAAAGAATTGGTTCTCTAATACAGATTTTATCAAAGTGATATACTGCAAATGATAAGGGTTTTCAAGGGCTACATCACACACCTAGTATTTGCTAAGTTTGTTAACTTGTTAAGTTTGTTAAGTTTGTTTGTTAACCTGATATATGTCATTGGTAACTGGTTCTTGAACACTGCATTTCACAATAACACACTAAGTTTTAGCTGTGAATCCATAAATGAACTTACCCACTCAGCCCATGCACTCTTTCAGTATTGTACTTCAAGGGGGTTAGTTCTTGTCTTAAGCACTGTAATGCCTCTAGCACCTGTCCCTCTTCAAGATGTTCAAGATATTTCTGTTCTAAAAGCAGGAATTTCATTTTCTAAACAAAATTTAAACAACAAAAATCAGTTAATCAAATTATAAAGGCTAATGAATACAATTAATGTATCAATCAATATACATGTTTACAATCACTGTTCTGCACTCTGCCACTAACTACCATATTTGTCAGATAACCCACATTATTTTTGGAACCGACAGTTTAAGTCGGTTGTTAACCAATTAGAATGCTGGGAGGTGACAGCCAAACGTATTCAGAAATTTTTGAATATTGTCAGATGGTAAACGCAAAATTTAACTCGAAGGAATACGGGCTTGTAAATTTGCATATACGTCATACGGCGAGTGGAGCAGTCGAGCCACGGATCATAATAATAAACCGGACATCGCACGCGCCTGTGTTTACTTGTCTCGCGTTATGTTACCAAGTTGTTGGCGCAAACAAAATTGAAAAAAACAACCATCGTTTCTCCGAGAACGCAAGAAATTATTTGTATTGTGCGCGGTCTTGATATGTTAATTAGTCTTCTGATTGGTTGAAACATATTAGACATGTCAATCATTACAAGCCCGAATCTGGCCGGTAATGTGAGGGCGCTTACACTGATGACAAGTCTGTTGGGATTTCGCGGTCACATGACTTTCGCGTTCACCCCTCGTTTACGCAATTTATATTTATTTTTCACAAATTTTTCATCGGAATCGCAACAGACTGCAAGCAAGTCTATGTAATATAGTGAACGATTATTCAATATTATTCATTTTATTTATTTATATATAGCTATTGATTTGTGTTAAGGTTTAACTTTAGTTTAGACCTCAATAATGTAGAAGCATTTGGAGGATAATTTATTATTAGAACAACTCCTAGCTCATATAACATGCAAGTATTATGCCTCACACATAATATTACATGCATAGATACATCATCCATGTCACAATCAATAAACAGATGTATTTTTTCATCGTACTATCTTAAGATTTTATGCGCAACTATTAGAAATGTATTAATTAGTACAATTAGTACAGTTTTGTATAATAAATTTATGGCAGTATATGCAAGATAATGTTTGAGTACATTATTGTTTCAAATATATGACTTAAATATTTTAAATATATATTATTTTAATGCAACATACGGTACATACAGTACTTGTGAATCTGCAGAAAATCTGGATTTTCACCCTCAGTTGTGTTTGGTTTGTATGATTATTGAGACCAATTCTATGTTTGATAGTAGCATGTAAAGCATATATGTACAATCAATCAATCAATCAATTTTTATTCACACTAAACTCAATCCCCCAGAGGGAAAGAAATAGTTACAAATAACAAATTCAGAAGAAAAAGAACACTGAGAGAAAGTAAAACAGAAACAAAACTGAAAGCGAAAACAATTGTATGCCAAGTATCATGTATCTGAATCTTGAAATACGAGTGCAACAACACACACTGTAGACTGCTGGATACAATAACACAGCAGCAGGAGCTATTTTTGACAAGCTCATAAAACCTCTGCAGTTGAACAGTTGAGAGCAAATCAACAAAACTGACCTTGAACTACAAAGAACCATTCTGTTATATTTGTATTCTAGAAACACAAATCCTATTTATAACAGCATAAAAGATGCATTCGACAATGCACATTATGAATGATGAAAAAAACATATTTATATTACTGAGTGAACTGAAAACATTATGTACATATAGCTTGTATTTTTTATTATTAAAGTATTTTATTATCATTATTATTATTAGATACTAGTATTCAATATTTTGTGTGTAAGGAATCAATATGACCCAGCTGTAATATTTGAATATATGCCAAATTATTACAAAGTCTGAGAATTTTTTACATAAAAGCTTGAATATTGACCTAGTTATGTTCAGGATATATTATGGTCTCAAATAAGCCATTATTTTCTTTTGTATGGCATCTCACTTTCAGTACAAAAAGAACACAAGTTTCCTAGAGATGGACCACAGCTGAACAATGAAATGAAGAAGTAAAATGATACACAGTTTGAAAACCCTAGACTATATATTTAATTATCATACATATGTATATAAGCTATGATTAAAATAAAATATTAAAGCTATGAATAGATAACATATTATTTTGAAATATGAATAAATAGTAAATCCAGACTCCAGAATTTTTTAAGGTAGCGAGAAGGGTTTTGTGACGTTT